AGGAGAAAGGACACTGTACCTTCAATTTACATGAAGAAATTATAATACACAGCGTTGAAGTAACTTGCCAGAGGCCACGCAGATACTAAATCACAGACCCGTGGCTCAAACCCTGGCACTCGGTCCAGAGTCCTGTGTGCCTAACTCCCCCACCATTCTGCCTGTCTGGTGCATGCAGCTTTCATGGAAATATCATGAGGATCACGAAACATGTTGTTTCTGAAACACTAGCATAGAGCTGAGCACACAGTGCAAGTCACTTTAGACGTTGTCCTGTTGCCATCATAATGTCCCGAACCAAATGAATCTGACATTTAAAAGAGAAATAACATGCGTTTGCAGCAAGTGCTGCATAACCAACTGTATCGGAAAGGATCAGAAGTTGCACTGCATGTGGTATCCGGCCACGATTACAACAAACACCGAATGTCCTGGCCCAGTGGGCATGCTGTTTGTTACCTTGAAATTTCCATTCAATTTCATCTAGTTTAGGTACACATGAACAAAAGTAGACTTTGGGGTTTTTTGTTTGCTTGTTTGTTTATTGTGCTTATTATGAAAAACAAAGCACAGAATTTGAGCAGACATAAGGCCACTCCAGGGTGTGCCAAGGGCAGGTTTGCACGCAGCTGTCTGGGGCGAGGGCACTGGAGCATGGCTGGAGGCTGTGTGCTGTCTACACTGCAGCTGCCACGACTCGGGCTGGCTGGAGGAGCTGGGGGAGACTGGAGAGAGTGGCGCTAATGACTGCTGTGGGCTACTCTGTCAGGGACAATACATGATGCAGGAAAGATGTCCCCTTTCTGCAACCATCTGTTAGGAACTCTTCCCATCACCACAGACAGCTGTTCTTCTAAACAGACAGAAGGCAGCGAAGGCAAAGTAGACCACGCTGTTGAGGAGCAGGAGCAGGTAGGTGTAGTAGGCAGAGGTGCTGGTAAGCTGCTGCCCCAGTGCTTCTGAGAAAAGTCGTTCAGCTACTTTCACCTGTTCTTTGGACACGGTAGGACACATTAATCAGGAAGGGATCACAAATATTTACTTCTGATGATCTGCATTGAAGTGATATCCCACCACCACCAAAACCCAAAAGTAAACATCTGCCAACACAACCCGAGCAAGGCAAGTCAGTTCAGCTCACAGGTCAAGTTGATTAACCTCTGCTCAATGCACTCAGAACATTCCACAATATAGAGGAATAAGTTTGGGTTTTTAATGAATGAGTCAAATGAAGAAAAAAGTATTGTCATAAATAGATTCTAGAATTCCTTCGCCCCAAAAATGTTCTAAGTAATAATAACATCAATATTTATTAACTGCTAACTAAATAGCAAACACTATTCTGAGAGCTTTGCTTGTAAAGCTTTTTTCTAATTTAACCTTTATAACAAGCTATGAGAGAGATGGAAAGAGGGAGATTATTTTCATTCCCATTACAAATAAAGAAACTGAGGACAGAGAGAAGGGATTTGGCTCATGACGTGCATTCAGTGTCAGAGCCCAGCTTACAGCCCCAGCAACAAGATGCTAAAGAACACATGGAGCTGCTCTGTAATTCTACATCTTCATGTGCAATAAACTCACCAGACGTCAAAAGGTTAAGCCTAAATACAAAGTTGAGTTGCTGATTTAGAAGCATCCACGCCATCGCACACTGTGAGTGCAATGAGACCTCTCGGAAGGGTACAGTGCATGGGAATTTGGTCGTATTTGCAGCAGGGTGGTTGGGAGATCTTAGTAAAGAGGGCTGTATAGAAAACGGGAGAGTGCGGTTAATCCAAATTCTCTGAGATGTTAGGTGGTTGTGACACACTCACCTGTCTTTCCTAAGTGTCTCATTGTGGCTTTGATGTTATTGGGTAATTGCACTTAACACCAGTTGAAGGTTTGCAAGACCCACGCGATGTCAAGGAGTACTTAAATACCAGCGTGGGCCACAGTGGCTACATGGTGAGCCGTGGGGCCAAGTCACTTCCTGTGGAAATTTCCATTTTACATGTTCTGTCTTCATAGAGTCAAAACTCCAGAAGCATTAGTCCGTGGTGTAGAAAGATTCCTAACTCCCTGCCTTTGGTTGAACAAGATGTTACCTCCACTCCTCACCTGTGTGGCAGCTGAGGTCCGAGCTCCCTTGATACTGGAATAGAGGAAGGGTCAGCAGGGCTGGAGCCCATGCTTCTATTCGTGTTCTCTGTGGACATGTAGAGAGAAAGGGCCAGAACCTAGTGCTTATCCTGTGCCTACTAAATGAGATTCCCAGTGCTAGACGTGTCACATCTGCGCCCTTATCTCTTCAACAATCACACACTTTGTGTGCAATGAGACCTCTAGGAAGGGTTCAGTGCATGGGAATTTGGTCGTGTTTGCAGCAGGGTGGTTGGGAGATCTTAGTAAAGAGGGCTGTATAGAAAACGGGAGAGTGCGGTTAATCCAAATTCTCTGAGATGTTAGGTGGTTGTGACACACTCACCTGTCTTTCCTAAGTGTCTCATTGTGGCTTTGATGTTATTGGGTAATTGCACTTAACACCAGTTGAAGGTTTGCAAGACCCACGCGATGTCAAGGAGTACTTAAATACCAGCGTGGGCCACAGTGGCTACATGGTGAGCCGTGGGGCCAAGTCACTTCCTGTGGAAATTTCCATTTTACATGTTCTGTCTTCATAGAGTCAAAACTCCAGAAGCATTAGTCCATGGTGTAGAAAGATTCCTAACTCCCTGCCTTTGGTTGAACAAGATGTTACCTCCACTCCTCACCTGTGTGGCAGCTGAGGTCCGAGCTCCCTTGATACTGGAATAGAGGAAGGGTCAGCAGGGCTGGAGCCCATGCTTCTAGTCATGTTCTCTGTGGACATGTACAGAGAAAGGGCCAGAACCTAGTGCTTATTCTGTGCCTGTTAAATGAGATTCCCAGTGCTAGACATTTCACATCTGCGCCCTTATCTCTTCAACAAGCACGAGTTTGGTGTAATTCTTCTCACTGACGTATGAGAAAAATACCACTCACAAATGCAAGTCACTTCCCCATGTTCATGCCACTAGTCACTGAGAGTACTAGGGTGGGGGCCGGTCTGTGGAAGTCAAAGCCCACTCCCTCCGCCTTCCCCCCAATGTGTCCTTCATTTCCTGCGGCCTCAGCTGCAGAATTTCTTGCTCTGTGACTACATCAAAAAGGAAGACTAGAGAACTTGGATTGTGAAATCTTCATCAGAAGGCCTCATTTGAAACCCCAGATCTGACTGGGTGGCATGTGTCAGGGACTTAATTTTCCTTCATCGCCCTCGTGTGTGGATTGGGTGAACAACATTGCCCCACTTCCCGGGATGTCGTTAGGTTTCAACAAGAAAACCATACGGAGCACAGCCCACAGCCTCCGCATAAAGAGCACTCAGTAGGCACTACTTGCTGTTATTAGCTACCAGCAAGGACCAAAGACTAAAACATAAACAAGTGATCTGGAAGCAACTTGGTATCACGCTTTCCCAGTTACAGAAACAGAAGACACATGGATAAATCCATGAGTTGAATCAACAAGCCATTGCTGAGATAGTTCAGAGCCCATCACTGCAGCCTCTGATTGACAGTCACCTCAGACCAAGAGCAGTAGTTGACTGTGCCAATGTGACTCCTAGGAAATGTAGGGTGAATACAATGGCACTCAGTCCATCCTGCTACCTCCAGCCAGTCTATTTTCTACCTTAATCCAGGGAAGTTCAGAGAGTTAAGATGATCAGGAGGGGGAAAAGCACAAATACTTACCATTTTCACCTTCCAAACAAGGTTTTTTAGGATCTAGAAGAAATGAGAGCAAGTACGAGTCAGTTGTTCATGCTGCTATTTGACTGGGTGTGTGTGTGTGTGCGTATGTGTGTGTGCATATGTAGGTGTGTGTACATATACACAGACATAAAATCTTCTGACAGCCAGACAGATGAGCCCCCACAATTCCAGAAATAATTGGTCTGATTCTATAAAACTCAGCACAACATATTTATATGTTTCTGTACATGAAGATATGGAAGTTCGTGAAGGATACATTGTACTTTCTCTTTTATCCTAACTGGAGTGTGATATCCAAGACCATCTGGTTTTCCTTCTGTATTCACAACTCCCACCACAGTGCCTACTGCAAAATAGGTGTTTGATAAATACCTGTTCAATGGGAAAATAAACAGAAAAGTGGCTGCTTTACAGTCTTCAGCACACACTGCACATGAACTATTGCTACCAAAGAGAATGCATCCAATCCTAGAATCCACAGCAGCATCTTAGATGTTTGATGAAGTCTGGTTTTGAGAATTTCCTTATCTAAGCAGAGGAAGCCAGTCATACCATTCGAAGTCATGCGTGTCTCCAATATCCCCGATTTGTGCACTTCATTTTCTGGAGGTGTGGTGTTTGTGAACATAACAACAGCAATATGAATGAAAGCTCCTACCTACTCAGTGATCATTACCGTGCCAGGCACTATGTTACATGCTTCACACGTGTTCTCTTGTTAAATTACACTTCAGTGAGCTGTGGGATGTGTGGCCCATGATAGAAAAGAGGAAATAAAATTTAGAGAACGGAGGTAACTTGCTGAGAGTCGTAGCAGTGAATGGCAGAGCCGGTATCCAAAGGATAGTTGTAGGGGATTAAATGAGATAGGGCATGTGGAAAGTACTTTGTAAAAATAATCTATAGAACTAAAAAGTAATTAACAGAGAGACAACGTAATTCCAATATTGTGGACGCATAAAAAAAGCCTTCTCTCCAGGTCACTTAATTATTCCCAGCTAATGGCCTTTTTTGTTATAGGAGCTCCGCATCTCAGTGCAAGTCTCTCTGGGAACAGGACAGGCCCACTGACATTTATGTTTCTCTGAATAAAACCTGAGATGAGAGTTGTACTTCACTATGATGTAAAAAAACAAACAAAAAAAATGGCAAACATACATACGAAGACAAAATGTTTTTAAACAGATGGAAGAAAACAGTCACAACGTTTTTCTCCTGGATGTGTTCTTGTCCGTATGTATATGGGTCTGGTGTGCAATTTTATACACTCAACGGGTTCTTTTCTTTTCTTTTTCTTTTTTTGATCTGCTCTAAAAAATAGGTTTTAGGGTAAGTTTGAAGAATGAAAATATTAGTTTAATCATGTTCAGATGTTCAAATACCTTCAACAACTGACTTTGATGGGTCTTAAAAGTCTCTGTCTTTTTCTTATAGTAACATTATTCATTAAAAGGTACATAAAAATATCACCATGCATTGAATGAGCAATAATTCCTCATCAGGAAATCTATGTGTGTATCCTAAGTTCTGTCTCTCAGTCAGGTTGGTTGAACACTTGGACCAGATTAGTTTTATTTACTTGAAATGATATGTTCCCATTTTATATTTTTAACATTGATCAAAAAGGGGGGAGGGGAAGCTTCGAGGAAATGGCATTGAGAGTTTGCTGTCGAGTAACATTAACAGAAGTGTCCTCCTTAGCTCTGTCGCCATGAGAAGCCATGAAGGATGCTTGTCCTGAGATTTAGTGTCAAGTAAAGCCCACTGTAAGACTGTACTTCTGTCCTGTGTGACCTTCACTGCTGTGGAACTTACTGCACTGTTACTGTCCCTGTCACTGGAGACGTCGGACCCTAACTGGGCGCGTGGCAGTGGCAGGTCTCCAGGGCATGTGCTTTGTTATCTGCATACCCTGCGCTTCTCAGCAATGGAAACAGAACAATCGGGCGCTACCATGGTTGTTTTTTAGTTGATTTTGAGAGAGGATATAAATAAGCACAATGGCTGTATGAATAAAGGCGGCCATACCATGTATTTGAAAGCACGCCCTGTCACTGACATCATTTCCACTTCTCTCCATCACAGCCCCGGGAGAAAGTCAAGGCAACGCTACAAACCTCATTCAGTCATCACAGAAACTAAGGCTCTGAGAGGATACAGACGTACAGACGTCAGGAGAGATGGGGGCTGGTGGGAGGCAAAGCGCTTCCCACGTTTTGTGACGTGCCTGTTCCCACCGGTTAGAGAGGACTTGTTAACTCCGGGGAGGAATACAAAATGATTCCTTCTCATGCCCACTCTGGGCCCTTGACCTGGACATGTGCCGCATCTGCAGCAAAGGGACTGCCTTGGACATCATGCCTGAATCCCGGTGACCCTAATCGTTGATTAGGAAAAGAGGGTGCTGTCTTGACTGCTCATTGCAGTCCATTCCTGCACATTTCCACGCAGGTCTGGCTAGCACACTAGATGTTTGTTGAGCTGCATTTACCAATGACAATGAAGACATCCATTAGGAAGGATGACGTGCGTCTGTGCACATTAGCCTCACCCCATCTTTAATCATGAAACTTTACTTACAGTGATACATAAAATAAAAATCTGAAAACCCCAAGGCTGCCATAAAACTGCAGCAGCCAAGGTTAGTTCATTTTTCACTGAGTCATGCTCTGGCTCCTTCATGTGAATACCATTTTGACAAAAAGACCTCATTGTTTGTACTTAAACTTTGTGTAAAGCAAGATTACAGGGAGTGTTAATGCTGCTTGCTTGGTGGAACATTTCTGCAAGACATACAGTTGTGCTTACTTCCTGACCAAGTAAAGTCACGAAAAGTGGAAACCTTCCTGAACATTCACTGTGTGTTAAGCTGCTAGGTGCTTTCCCGTATTTTGTGTCATTAATCCATATAAAAATTCTAAAAACATCACATGACCTTACTATTTTGGATGAAGAAACTGAAGCTGAGAAAGCTTAAATAAATTTTTCCTTTTTTTTCTCCAACACCCATACCGTTTTAATTCTATGGGAAATAGCAGAACATTTACACTACCATTAAATGTAACAACATGTAAGAAAGATTTATATTTGTTTCTCATTACTACTTGGTAGAAAAAGGTGAGGCATTCCCATTCAGATAAGTTTCCTGGGAGGTTCTACTTACATTTATATACTCATACCTTTCTTTATTGCAGGAAAGAGAATCTCTTGATCAACTCCTCCTTTATTATTCTCATGTTTGACGATGCATTTGTGTTCTTTATCTAGTGACTTTTCA